AGCTCCTTACTATGCAACTAGCCTTGGCTCATGGATCAGAGAATCAAGAAGGGCAATGCTAAGCCACTACGTACCTGTCGGACTTTGGGAAAAGTAAGCTGCGGCTAATAAGCTGCTGTGTCCTCAAATTCCTGACACCTGTAAGCACTGAGCTAAGAAACTCCAAATTCAAGGGATCGGAGTACGTCATACTGAAGACAGGTTCTAGATATTGTCAGGATGGACACCCAAAAGTGGCTACCTGAGAAGATCTGGGTCAATGCTTTGCAGAATGCACTGACAAGTACCAGTGAGATGTCCAACCCATCAGAACTAGAAACAGTAAAACAACTAGGGCTCAATCCAAAACAACATGTCAAACTGCGGGTAGGGAACTCAAAGAACTCCCTGGAGCCACTTACCACCCACCTAGGCAAAAAAGCTCAAAGACTGATACCAGGTACAACTCTGAATTGACCCTGTAGGCATAGATTATTTGATCTAATAGGTATATTTGACCTAAGGTATAACCCAATGTGCTGTTTACAACTCCTTGTTCTTGGAGTTCATTGAAGTCACAGATTTCTGCTCCTAACACAAGCTCAAATACTGCTGTATTTTGAATTTTAAAATCTCATTGAAGCACATTTAATAACTCTTCTGCTTAATTAAAACAGTTCTAATTTAATAACATATTAGAGTAAGTTATTTTTTGCAGGGTGTAATAAATCCTTTTTTTTTTCTGAGAATTAACTCCTTTGATGGTACAAAACAGTTTGTCTTGCAAAATTCATTACATAGCGGTTTCAGCACTTTAATTCTGCAGTTAGGGTGTTTTTGCAATCCTGCACCCACTTCTGCTTTCATTCACTGCTGTTCAATCCCACAAGTGTTAATATATGGATAAGCCAGCACTGCAATAACTTCAGCTTGCTCTTCATATCCGAAATGGCTATATTGCTTTAGGCAATGGACCACTGCATTCCATTTAGACTTCATATATTTTTATTCCTTTCTCTCCTTAGCTTTCCTTATGCTTCCATTACCCAAATAATTAGCATGGTGCGATGTGTTTGTGGTATAGAGTCACATCCGAAAGATTCTTACTAATTGCTACAGTAAAAACACCTTTCTTTTCCCCTCCTTTCTCTCATTTTATTTATGTATTTATTTTTAAAAGAAGAGTAAGCTCTAGCATTTACTACATACTGATAAGCAACATTTATCTCCTCTGAGGTATCTGCATATTCTGTTGTCTGGTTTTTTTCAATTGCATTTTCCCACTAGCTCTGAACTTATTTTCTCGCTGCATATTTTTCCCATGGTACATTTAAGATGCATCTGCTACAATTAATATGATGCAAGGTGCAAGCTTATATGAAAAACAGCTTGTAAATTTTGAATAGTTCTGCAGCAATTACACAGGTAGAATGGCTTATTTGACTATTGGCTTTGTTCCATGGCATGAGAACCATTTAAGGGTCATAACAAATAGTCCAGTGATTCAAACAGCAGATAGATATTTAACATAGATCTCATCTATGTCAAACATATCTCATAATTTAAAAAACTACCTATGAGACTGTAATAATTTTCCCATAACACAGGACAAATAAACTTCTTAGCTGATGAAAACAGTGATTTGTTTCCAAGTCTTAAAATCTGTCTCCAAAGGGAGGTTCTCATTTTTCCTGGTAAATTGTCTGAAAGGGCAACGAACGCCGCAGGTCTGTAAGGTCATCCCTTGCCAGGAGGATGCATCAGTGAGATTCAGCTTACATGTCATTACAGTCCTGCTGTCCCCTTCCCATGCTAGCTGATGCTCTGACAGCAGCTGGAAGGGTACCTGCGGCTGCAGGTCCAGCACTCTTCCCAGCAGCTATGCATCCTGTCCATGTGCACAGCAGGCTCTCGGTCTTGGGCACCATTATTTACCTCACTGAAATACATGGGTGAATAGGAAACATTAGGCCCAACTAATTCTAACAGGTAGAAAGCATCTTCAAATTAAAATCCCCTCCTTTTAATTGTGTACTGTCCTATTAAGACTGGAATTGACTCCAGCAACTTCTACTCTGTAAGTGTAACAATAAATCCCTGCTGCCATGGTCAGCCAATGTCATTTTCTGCCCCTTCAGACAAAGACATATTGCTGTTTCATGTGAGAGAGCCAGACGGCCATCAATCACCTCCTCAGCGGCGCTACCTTCTAGCTCCACCTGGCCACACACGCTCTGCTAATAATTAAATCCCAGCCTGTTACTCACAGAGCAGCCACTGAGGTCTCCTACAGAGAACACGCTCTTTCACCATGCTACCAGGGAGGGAGATCATTCTTGACCAGAAATGACACTTGTCAAACTGGTGCTGGCTTTTGATTAAGGAGCAGGATTCTGATGTCCGCTCCCCGCAATGCCCAGTGTATGGTTTCATTAGGTAGGGTGCTGTGGATATGCGTTACACCAAAGGATGCTCCCTACAGATACAAAAATCGAGCAAACTGAAGTCAGTAAACTACATATCTCAATTACAGAGAAAATAGTTTCTGTTGCAAAACTCCCAGAATATTATTAATTATTGTGTGTACAACAGCCCTCTTTAGGGATCCTAGTCACTGGCCAGAACACTCCTGTAAGAGGTCCCGCACAAGTGTGCAACATCCTTTCCCCAAGGATCGTTCCACCTCCAAGAAGGCTAAAAGGTCTTGGAGGCAAGGAATGCCTTTTTGTACACGACACAAGACAACAAAATGTCTCAAAAGCATGCCTACGAGAGATGAGTGCAAGTCAATGAATGACAACGTCCCCCATTTATTTTAAAACTTCCAAACCAGCAGGTTGGCAAGACTTTAAAATCAACTCATTGCAATAGCATTAAGGAATGTCATCCAAGCCACCTCCCAGATTTGCCAAGAGCCACATGGCCAGCTCCACCAGCAGACCAGAGAGGGACGGTGCTGCCAGCAAGAGCAAGGTGATGAGCAGCTGGAGAAAACAGTTGCAGACGTTTGCAGAGTACACACCTGCCTTTGCCCTCACACTGGGATGATTGCTAAAGTGGACATGCCAGGAAGCTGTCTGGTTGCATCAGAGTCAACAAAGTGGAGCCAATTTGGCTCTCACAACAATGATACTTTGGCTGCAGCCAAATGATAAAACATGACCTGAAAGTCTTGAGGGCACTCATTAACACCCAGAAACACCCGCTGCCTAATAGCACACTGGCTTGGCACTCAGGAAGCTTCCAGCTGTAGCTCTTTTCAACCTGTTGGCTGAGCATGGGCAAGCAAGGGTCTCACATTCTCTTTCTGCAAGATGAGATAACACCAGCGCTACCAGTCTAATGAGGTTTGGGTGAAGTGCCGTGCAGACAAGGCTGACCTATTTGCAGTTTGGGAAGAGGTTTGTTCGGCGCTAGCCTGTATCTGCACCACGCAGTAGGGATCACCCTCATTCACATCAGTGGTGTGGAAAGCTATCTGCATTTCCCAGGTGCAGCCTCTGACTTCAGTGACTCAGGTATATCTGTTAACTCCAGGCAGGTGATAACGAGGCAAACACACATTTCTTTTGAAAATTTGAGCAGATGTAGAAAACTGGCAGAACCCGACTTGGACTGCAGAATGCCATTCACCTGTAAACATGTGCTCTGAACAGTCCATTTCTTCAGACATCTCCCAGGATAATGCCACAGTCACTTAATGGCATATCTCCTGGATCGGTAGTGACTCCTGCAGAATATAACGGATACGTCACCCTGCAGCAGCAGCAGATCTATTCTGCCCCTCTCAGCTGGACCCAGCTGCTGTGGCAAATGTGCTGCCAGGCTTCCATTTCATTTATTGCAGAGCTTTGATTATGCATGACAGTGCTTTAATATGTATTTTTATGGCAGCTCTTCACACTCCTCTTCAGATTATCAAGTGAAACAAAACTATACAAAGGAGTGACACTGGAAGACTATTTGAGAAAGGGTCTTTTAAAACCATAATAGCTTTCATGGTTACGTAGCCATGGAAGTAGCTCTGAAATGTTCTGCCTGCATGGAAGATGCCAGATTTGTATCTAGCTCAGAACCATGGATTCTGCTGCAGTACCAGGCACATGAAATGCAGACACTGCAACACAGAAAATCACTAGGCCAAAATCTTCTGGGCATCCTTCTCCTCTTCTTACTACAGCAGCTGAGACTGTTCTTAACCAAAGACGGCCAAGATAGCTCAGAAACTGGAGGACCATCTCAACCATTCTCCTGCTCTTGAATGAAATCCCAGATGTGCACTTCACTCCCCAAGCCACTGGTACCAGAAGGAACATCTACTTTCAGGAGCAGCTTCTTTAGCTCCATTGGGAGTAGTCATGTGGGAAGCCAGAATTACACCATAGACTCAAATGCAGGCAAGGGAACTAGCTGATCATGTACTGGCCTCAGGTAGGTATACAGTCTCTGCATGACAGTATAAAGAACTTTCCTTTTATGTGTAGCTTGCTGTCGCATAGTGGGATGCAGAGAATGTATCTTTTTCCCCTAGTTGGAAGCTGAAAATACTTTTAGCTCCATACATGCACCTCACACAAACATGTATGGCAGTGTATCTGCAGCTGCTGCAAGCAGGACAGACAACTTGCACCCCATGAGACAGGCTCTGCATGTTTCTGTCCCACCACCCAGGGTGCTCACTACTCCCTGGAGGAACAGTGAGGACCCCATGAGTAAGAGCCCAGCCAGGAGTTATTCTGCACCAGTAAGCAAAGGATGAGGCAACAGCAAATTCTGCTCACTCATCATCCTCAGCTCAGAGCTGCCCGTGTCAGGAGCCGAAGACGGGCTTTGCATTGGTGTGACTATCTCCTGTTTCACTATATAGCAGAAGGAAGACTTACAACAGATGGTTTCTACTCTTAGAATTACTGTCACACAGCAATTTCCCTGCTCAGTTCCATTTGCGGTAACAAAATCGCGTTACATTGGCCACTTTTCCTGCCCAGTGCATTGGCAGCCTCTGAAACTGCAATGCCTACCTTAACTTCCACGTGTGCCATGAGGACCGCAAAGTTGGTTAGGTGATTGCAGGAGCATGTGGTGTGTGTCTTGTTAGTTGTCAGAAGGCGACATCCCTGGGTGGACCAATACCCTGTCATTGTACGCTTTGTATAACTCCAGAATGAACAGTTAGGATTGAAATTTTCTTCTGACTGCTGCAGGGAAGAAATGAATAAATGAAATAAAAATCATAGGGTTTCAGAAATTTCTAAACGTACTATTTTTTTTTTTTTGCCAGTGGCACTTTGTAACTGTCACCCTTTAATTTTGGATAAACAATCAGCAGTGGTTTATACTTTAAGTATTACTTGCTGATACCAAAGGAAGTTAGATGGTTGCTGCTCTCTCTGCTAATGCAAACTTAGTTCTTTGTTCTTGATTAATTTCAGCCATAGACTAAACCCAGCTCTTCAAAACCAGATTGCTTCATTTGCATTGCAGAGCAGAGAAATTAATTGCTTCAAGCAATCAACTTTTGCAATGACTGTGCTTGGCTAACAGGAGGACTAGCTGTCCTCTTTCACTGTAATTCCACTTTCCTCTAATATCCCCTGCCACCATGATAAAATAATATTATGGTCTATTCTAATATATTGGTAGTTTTTAATTACAGAATGACGTGTGTCAGCAACTGAGCAATGGGCATCAGCTCAAAGGAGACTCTTTCCTCACTTTTATTAATGCAACGTAAAAAAGGCATTCTCCATAAATAACACAAAGTGCAAAGGAACAAATGTATAATTCAAAATCTAATCAAGGACTGCTGGGGGCCTCACATCAGCCAACTTCTGCATCACTTTGTTTTTGAAATTGAAAAAAAAAGGAGGACTTTTCGAACTCACTCACCTTGATGTGCTTGACAGTAAACACCACGGGATCAGCCAGGTAAACCTTATTGCTGAACTCTTTGTTTATTGCTGCCGTGATGACTGGGGAGTTGACAATGACAGAGTGATTAGTCGACATTGCTTCTGTTCCCAACTTCATGCTGGCGTTCTCTGTGGATAGATAGGTGCCCAGGTTGTTGTACAGCACAAAAGCCACCCTGATTTCACCTAGAAGAGCAGTAAGAGGTTAGATATGCAGGTCAGCGCACTGGGTTTGTTGTGTTTTTTCTTTTTTTTTCTTTAGGTGATAAATCTCTTCTTTGAACCAACTTCAAAATTCCTCCAAGAAAATGTGAAAGGACCAAGATGTGGCATATGAAAACTCACGTCCTCCTGCCAAACCCAGCGAGCACCATGAGGTGCAACAAGTGGTCCATGGACAAGAAGGGCAGGGCTGTCTCTCCGAAAACAAACTTTTATAAACAGATTGGCAGAAGACAGAGAAGGTGGGTTTATTTTTGGTGTCAGTGGGTGTAACTGGTTCCAGAGAAAAGAAGCTAGGTGGCCCATTTCCCACCTGACATAACACCTTATTCTCCAGGTTACGCTTGGGAAACATGTTTCATTCTGGCCTGTTGCACAGGTGCAGTATAAAACTTTAACAGTCCATTAATAAATTAAGACTGCCTCAGAAAAGTGTGGGGACAAATCTGGGAGAAGGAATCCAAAACTTTCCAACACAATTCCAATCTCATATGAAAGATAAAACAAAATTGCAGAAATTTTAAATTATATTTCTTTTCTTTTTTTGCCAATCATACTTTCCCTCTTCCACAAAAAAAAACCATTAGGGAGCCTGCAGAAAACCCAGGCTACCAGCCAACTGTTTTCAACCGAAACCATCCAGTTTGCCTTCTGTTTTGCACATTATTTCACTGGCTACACATAAGAATTGAATGTTATTAGTTTGCCTTTATATGTATTAGTTGTGGGGAGGTATCTTTTTGTTTCTATAGGAATCACCCCAGCTTCTGAGGAAGGCGAAGCACTGATGACTTCAAAGGGCTCTCCCAGCCTAAATCCTTCTATGATAATTTTACTTCTAGCTTGGTTGGTGACCTCTGAGCAGGTGTCAAGCTGGTGCAAATTGATGGGGCTTGATTTGACCAGAACTCTAGTAATACCACGCTTAGAAATACAGACTTTCCCTTCCCCACTGTCAAAATCCCGACAAATCTCCAAAGCCCTCTAGTGGAGTGAAATTCCTGCCCTACCAGAGTTTTGCTATGCATCTTGAGTTTTACACCGTCTTTAAAGGAAATACCTCTCCTCAAATCCTACATGCAAAGGTATCAAGGAAGCTAATGGCAAAACTTTCTGAACCACTGGACCAAACTTTTCTCTCAACAGTTGTCAAAAATTTTTGGCAGTTTGAACACATCTGGTCTGCCCTATCACTCCATGTTTTGTGGGCAATCATCAAACCCATACTAGAGTGCCTTGTCCCTGCACACAGGTTAAATTTTAAAGGAACTCAGAAATAGGAACATGTTAGGCCCATTAGTAGAAAGCCTGGGAGTCTGAAGTTGGTCTATAGCAGGGCTGTAGAGATCAAAAAAAGTATCTGCTCAAATTCCTGGTCTGGAGGTAAATGGCTTGGCAGCGTGAAGACCATTCACATGTAAGATCATCTTTAATTTATTGCTACATCAGGAGGTTCATAAGCTTCAGAGAGAAAGGCACTGAAGATTCAGACTCATAGCAGATAATCAACATTTTCTGCTATGTTGGCTCATTATTAATATTTGCTACTATTGTTTCTTCCCTCTCCCTTTTCAGATATTTCTGTAGTGCCCCACTGTGAAGCAGTTTACTGAAACAAGCCTCTTATCCCACCTGAAGTCTCCTACTGCAGACAACAGCTGTTAAAAGCACTTCTCTGGACTCAGCACTGTGCCCCAACAGCCACATCATTTAAGGATCTGATGTATTTTTACCAGCACGTAATACTTTTGAAGGCTGTGAATCACTTAGCAATGTAATACATTCCCAGTCAGCCAACTTAGCTTGCAGTCAAGGGCATGAGCAACTGACACTACCATTAATTTAAATATTAACACAATGAGTAATACTACATTTACAACTGGTTAAACACAAAACAATGCCTAAAGCACAACTGATTCATGAGGTCGGCATGGCCAGAGTCGCTGAACCTACCGTTTCGACCATTTTGTTTCAAGGTATTTGCTGACAGCTGAATGGCGCTCCCATGGCCCATGTTCTGGGGAAACTTCAGATCTTCCAGATTCCCATCTGTGCTTAGTCTCGCAACTTCCAGCTCTGTTTGCAAGAGAGACAGACACTAAGAAAAATCTCTACCGAAATAATCTTCAACACGATTCTTCAAAGCTACAAAATGGTGCTCCAGACCATCTGAGAGCAGAGGAATCAACTTACAATATTTCATGGCTAGACTCTGTTTGGGCTTCTATGTCTTTTTAAATCTTTGCCCTGATGAAGTTTTAAATTTAATTAAAAAAAAAAAAAAAAAAGGCAAATAAATTCTACTCTCTGTGGAAGACAAAAGACAACCAGTTCTTGTAAACAAGAATCTCAGGATATTAAAGGACAATGGTTAAAATGAAAATCTGAAAATGCTAGTTCTTTGCCACTGGCGATTGGTACTTTCTGTAAATGTTATCAGTGCTTGGGATCTGCATTCATAGAAACAGAAAGAAGAGTTGTTCTCATTTTACATATGCACAGTGGGAGTGCTGGTGCTTTCCATCATGCTTGTTTTTTAATTAAAATCAACAATCAGCCAAACAAAGACATAAATTTGTATGAAATGAAACACAATTGCATTATGATGAACAACCTCCCTATGAAGCGTTGCTCTCACTGCTGTAGTGCAGATTTTGCTCTCAAAGCCAGGAGTAATAGAGGCAAGTTAGATGTTCATTTTCCATGGGATTTCAAGGGTAGAAAGCTGTCTTATTCCTTTAGGCTCTTTTGGAAAGACTTTTAAGTCCTTCAGACAAAGGGCCAAGACATATCTAACAAATCGCTCTCCAGATAATCTAGGGGCCAAAACTGAAGCCAAGTTTCCCAGCCTTTACTCTCCCTTTGTCTGCTCTCAGTATTTATGGGATCTGTTCCTTACGGATGTTGTCAGTGTTTTCCCGGACAATGTCTGTCTTCAGCAGGTTATCAGCCAGCACGAAGGCACTGTCTTCTACGGTGTCAAGTAACTTGGTGGCTGCGCGCTGCTGTTCACTTGCATTCAGGTCCCTCCACGCATTCAGAGCTTGTGGCTGCAGGAGGTTGTTCACTGTCTCCACCATGGCCTGCAAGGGAGAGGAACTGAGTGAGAAAGAGCTCTAGCAAACCTAAAGCCAGTGAGACCATTGAGACCTCTGACATACGCTCAGTCCCATTCTCCATGCGCATCAATTTACAAGGAGAGGACAGCATCTCTTTTCCCCACCCATTGGGGCAGCCTGCAATGGAGCTAGGCATCATTTATCCCACCAGATGGGAGAGGGAAGAAATGTTGATTTTATTCTAAATGCAGGCTGGGAATAGCGCTTTTCTGCCTCTGGGCTTGGAGTAAGAAGCACTTGGGGCGGTGGGTGTGGGGGGCGGGGATGGACAGGGACACGACAGTGGGGGCAAGGTGAGAAAATCATTAAGGAAACACACAGGAAAACAGATTTCAAAACCCATCTGTGAAGCAGGTTGCTGCTACCTGCAGCACCAGAATTCAAGAGTAGGGCTTGGGGCACCCAAGGAAGGTATTTAGTACCTGCAAGGGCTACACTCCTTAGAGCATTTCCACCACATAACCTCTGGCAGGCAGTGATGAAGACACAGAGATAGCTGAGTTATGCCACTTCATCCAGAGAAGCAGCAGGTGCCCGTAGAGATTTAGTTAAGACACTACATTTCAAATCACTCCATTCAGGAAGGAGTCAGCCCTGTGATAACAACTTCAGTCCCTCCTGCAGTGCACCTTCTGCCCTGGGCTGCCACACACAAAGAGCTCTCCCATTGAGAACTTCCCACAGGTTAATCTGGATGCGCATCCAGGATCACATGAAACCATGCTGTCCTCATGATTGCAAAATTACAGCAGTAGAGCCTACCCAACCTGAAGGTTTTGCTCAAGCTAAAACCCCTGCTTAGTTACTAACCAGAGCTGACGCAACTACCTTCCAGTGAACGTTTTTTAATGAGACCAGCTGTACCAGTTGGTAGAACTGATTGTGTAGAGCAAAAGGAAAAAAAAAAAGGTACTTTGACCGTGCTTTCTTCTGCTGGTTAGTGTCTAGCCACCAGGCAGGCCTGCCCCACAAAGAAACAGCTCCACTGCTAGCTAATGCTGACTGCAGAAACAGACCTTCCCTTTGAGATGAAGCTGCTGTTCTTAATAATTTTCTGTATGGTGAACATGTAGGCATCAAACCCACACCTCTGTTCTGCAAAGCAAGGACAGTGCCACGGGATTTCAACATGTTGCAAGGCCAAAGGATGCCCCAGGGGCTCACCTTCATGGAATTACTTCAGTGTTTACTCTTGTCAGTGTTTCTAAACCCACCTGTACAACATAGCCTGTGTAAAGAAGATGCAGCATGGCCCATTCTCCAGCAGAGTCCTCAGGAGGAGTGTTACAACAGCAATACATGGCACAGAGTGCGGGCATCCTGACTCACTCACCAGTCATGGTCAGGTAATGATGTGCAATGGGACAATATAATCACATCAAACCAGAATTTGATTTTATTGCTATATCCAGGTGACCATCAAAAAAATTCCAACTACAGCAAGGTTCAAGGAGAAACAAAGACAGCTAGAGCTGTCACTGCTGGTGCTTTTAATCCCAGCAAAGACACATCACTGAGACATTGCCATGTGCATCTTCACCCTAAATATCCTTGAGGTTGGAAGGTTTCTCGTATCACCATGGTTCCTATTGGAAGACTGAGCCAGAACTGGTCTGCTCTGACAGTACGAAGGTCCTACTCTCCAACCTACATTTATTCATGATCAATTAACTAATTTGTTCTTGTGCCAAACCTCTCCTGTACCTTAAACAGATCTTACCCTCCCTGGAAGCTACTGCCCCATGTCCCCTGATTGATAGGCAACATTTCTCCTGAGCCTCACACCTTGGTTTCCCAAAGTATGGAGTAACCTATGCTTCAACCACTGAAGCAAACTGAAACGGCTGAAAATCTTGTCCTCTACTGATACTGCAAAAATCTTTTTGTTGTCAAGCCTTTACAATCCAGGACTAGAATCACTTTCTCATTTGCTGTTAAGTAGAACTTATTAACCATAAATCATTTTCTTAAACTCATTATTAAACTGATTTTCCTAAATAGCCTAAAAATCCTCTTAACACATTTAATAGGTGCACACAAAAAGCTGGTTGACTTCAATAGTCAAGAAATACTAAAAATCCACAGCATTTAATTGTTTGGGTTTGGGTTTTTGTTTTTTTTTTTTTTTCAGTGTTTTAAAATCTGGAAGCCTGATCTCTGTAGCTCTTAATAAAATGCTGTACTTCCCTTTGGTAGCTTATCTCTTTACAGGCAAACAGGAGGTAGTATTCTTTCCCAATGTCCAAAAAGCTTGACTATTTAGCTGTGCACGTTCTACACAACATGGTGTTTTCTTGCAAAAATCTTTTATGCATGGAAAGCAGAAAATGAGGATTTTTTTTCCCTTTTCAATGTTATCATACAGACAACAATTTGCCTGACTTCCATTCAGCTCAGCTACTAATGGTGTCTTTAAATCTCTGTTAAAACAACACCCTGGATACTTTTATTAGTACCTCAATGGTGGAAAGACTCTTTGCAGCAGATCCAGCTCCTGACTCTGGATGGAAAGATAATGTCTATTTGTCAAAACACGGAACAGATGCTGAAATATTTGTGTTATGGTGAAACATCTGCTGCAAAGACTTTTCCCCAGAAAAATTATTCTATCATTTAATGCATTTTTAATTTTTTATTTCTTTAAAATATGTGTACATGTATGCATGCGAAGTTTGAGAGAACACCAATTAGGCCTAATGTGCCGTACAATGTGTACTCCCCACCCAATGGACGCAGCGCTGGGGAGCATCCTCCTCTTGAAGTGTCTAATCTGAAACCAGCCATTTCACATCACTTCTAGGGTCTGACACAAAAGCTCCAGAAAGGTTTCCAAGGACTGTGGGTCAGATCCTTAGCACGTGTCTGAACAAAGCTGGTAGACTATCTTCATTGGCATTACATCTGAGATGAATTTAGCCCATAGGTTTTCCCTCCCCTCACCTGTCTCACCGCATTAATCAAGTGCTCCCCGCATTATATTTCTGAGTGCAGCACTTCATTATGGCTGAGTGCTGCGGGCTGAAGCCAAGGAGATGAGGTGCTAATGAAATGTTTGCATTTTGGGCAGGAGCTGAGGTAGGTGTTCAAATGAAACAAAACAGCTGTTAAAGCAACAGTGTCTCTTGAGACAGGGATACCAACTGGGAAAAGGCGGGCAAGGGAGCAGGAACTACAGGAAGCCAGGCACACAGGGCAAGGATCGGTCTACGTCTGCATTTAAGCTGAGCCATCGTGGATTAGGGGGGTTTGGCACCCGCTCCAATGACTTTGAGGTCTGATGAAGCTCCAGTATAGAAACAGTAGTGCCAAGCTCCCAGGAAAGCCTCTCACTGACCAGCAGTAGGAGGGTTAGCCCTGATGGAGGACCTTTGAAATGAAGAAGGCATGAGATACAGGTGTGCTTGGGAGCGGATGGCATGATAGGTTTTACCTGAGATCCATGGCGATTCTGATAAAGGTGGGGGCTTTCAGAGGGAGTTAGGAAAGTTCTGATCTAGTTTCATCACACCTCACTTCAAGAATTTAACATGCAGCAAAGATGAGAGCCCAGATGCCCTCTAGTTTTTCTCCCCAGTGAAAGTCAAACTACAGCAACTATTATCCTCATTTAGATGCCCAAAGTGACATGAGATTAATCCTGTCCCTGAAGAACCCAACATCTATTAAAGGATGCTGCATGTTTACCTCACTGAAGACCCTGTCCTTGCATCCCAAGCTAAAGGACTTCCTCTGCTGTGTTTGTTTTCTCTTCCCCTGCCTGATCCCTCTTCCAAATGCAGCTCAACTAGTTCAACAATTTCCAAAGCACTCTTGTGAGCCTCATGCAAAATAAAAATGTGGGGCTTGGAGCCCAAACGTACCTCAACATCATCCATAGCATGGCACAAATCCAATGCCGTGGTTGCTGGGGCTTAATGAATAGACAGCGCAAGCACACATACGCTCAAAGAGAAGGACAGAAGTAACTCAAATGACACCAAGAGAAAGCTTTCACAAAGCATAGCCTTCTTGTTTTTAGCCTAAGATCAAATGCGGGAAAAAGGGCATGGCAGAAGGGAGCCAAGAAGGAAGACTTTCCATCTGCCTTTCTGTCCCGAGATATGTAGGTGTAGCTGTATGCTGCCTGTGATGTCAGGGCACCTACACGTGCAAAGCCAAACCCCCTGAATACAAGCCCATAAAGTGTAACCATCCTGGGTCAGAGAATATTAGACTCAGTGGACCATTCATATCTCCAGCAGTGGCTACAATTGGACATCAAGAGAAGAGTAGGAACATGCCAGGCATAGAAGACAAATTCCATGATGGCGATCCCCTTCATTATGCGGTTATATAGCACCAGAGAGCGTACTTTCAATGTAAATAAAAGTTAATAAACCGCAGAGGGAGATATTTTTTTTTCCCAAATAAGGGCATACGCTCACGGTTTCTTGATTTTGTCCTGAGGTTACAAAACAGAAACAAAATGTAAACCTTCCTTCTCAGACACTTACAAATTGGTATTAGAAGATGTATTGTCAAAAGGTAACTAATTAGGCGCCTTACAGTAATCATACATTACTAAAAGGCCAGTTGTACATATCCCATTGATTTCCTTTGTGACATCTGCTTCATTCTGTAAAACTGAATTTTGCTTGTTCATTTATTTTTATCTTCTCACCCTCTAGAATTGTCTGGTGAGAATATCTGGCTATGTGACACAGTTTAAACCTTGGAGGGGAGTATACATCCAGTGTTACCACACTCATTTATTTCTCTCTCACTGAACCAACATCCAAGGCACTGCTCTGACAAAACCAGATTCTGTAATGTAAAATTTGTCTTTAATTGGGAGTCAACACTGGAAATCACTAAGAGAGGTTAGACATACTCATCTCATTTCCACATCTGGGACCAGACTGCATTATGCTATGGTGCTTAAGCACAGCAACCCTAACCTTAGAAAACCAGCATTTGTCCTAGAG